AGGTAAAAAAAGTCCAGTTGCAATCATCTGAGTTCATAATACTGGATTTAATCGGCGCTAACGCAACGTCAAATTGCTTCTAGACACCTATGAAGAATCTTTCTAGACACCTTTAAACACGGACTACGGTTTCACCATGTTTGAATACCGACACTGATGCAGGACAGCATTCCTGAGTTGGGCTGAACAAAGCCCCGTTAGAAAAACCAACTACACTTGCCGCTTTTCCTATGCAAATTTGCACACAATGCATAACTCCGATGTTCTGGGAATAAGTATAACAAATTACAACTTTCAAATTTCATAAAAAATCAAATGGTTTAAATTAATAATTTTACAAATATTGTCCGTCAAAACTAAAAGATGCATCTTTGCATCCGCTGCGTTGCTGGTACTCAAAAACCATGGAGCCGAAGCCTGTTCAGGCGCTTTCAGTAAGCGTCAAGAGGCAACCGAGCAGTGCATTAACATGTAGTAAAACCGGTATCATGAACTGAAAATAAAACTAATTCAGTGACTATATTTTTCCAGAAGCAGGCTCAATTGGGCGATGCAAAAGTCATTAAAAATAATTTTTTTAAGCTATTACAATTCGAAAGGCGCGGCAGATCATCAAAGTTTAGACCAAACAAAACAAAACTGGCCACTATTACGCAAAACACTGAACATAACTGCTGGACGTAATGTTGTCAAATGCTGTTTCAAAATAAAGTTAAAATCATATGCACATTTGTAGTGTTTAAATTAACTGAATCCTAGCAAATCATTATAAGGACAAAAGATCAGCAGGATTTTGACCAGCATTGATCCACTTCTGTATTTTTGATTTTTACAGTGTCCTTATACACCAATGCAATAAATGCATATGTAGCATTAACGATTCAAACAGAGCAGTAACTAAAGTCAGGGTTGTTTAATCGAAATCTCTGCTAACGCGTCCTTCTGGTGGCTACGCCTGAAGTGGGAAACATGACATCTAAACTTCGACTTTTAAGGTCCAAGCAAACAAAGAACAGTGAATTCTTTGTCACTAATCAGTTGAGTTCGAAAAAATCTACTATCGGAGTAGCATTCAAATTCGTTTTTGTTTTGCATACTACTTTTGAAGGGATAAGCTACGGGAACTCTGGGTCAGGTGCGTTGCGCCAGTCACATATCTTGAAGCCTCGACGTAGAGGAAAACTTATAATTTCGAAAACAAAATGAATTTCTAGGGCAATCATTAGAGTTGGTAACAAAGAAGGCGGCAACAGTAGTACACACTTTTCAAAACCAACTAGAACTGGTTTACGTTCACACTGCCGTACATGATTCAAGAGGCAATACATGAGGCAAAACGGGAAACGCCTCACGGCTTCTTTGCGTCCAGAGATATAGACGACCCGTCATGCAGGTCACGGCTTGAAGGTACCTTAATACATGCACTGCATCACAAATTTGGCCAGAGCAAAAGTGCATTCATCCACCAAGATGTAGGTACAGCTCCAATAAAATAAAGCCCGCAGTACAGTAATGCTAGTTTAACAGAAACCGTAAAAAACTTTATGGTTTAGAAACATTCTGAGGTAATTTACAGCAACACTGCGACATATACAGACCGTGTCAATATCTAACATTAACTGCGTGCGGGTTCGAGCCCCGCTTTGGTCAACTGAGTTTCCCTTGTACTGACGTGGATAAATGAGTATCTCTCTACGAAAAGGAAAGAGGACCCTATACACCAGGCTAAAGACATAGTCGCTGTCGAACCTGATAATATAACTAAGCCACTAACGGGTTGTAGCATAATCAAATAAAGACTAGCGTCCAAGTGCTAACTACATGAAAAGAAGGACGTCACAAGTAGTTCTATAATGAAAATGTAAATTTGATCTTGTAACACCTACAATTATCCTTTCACTTTCCGAATGGCGAACGATATCTAGAAGAGGTATCGTTTTTCAAACTTTAAAAGTGATCGATCGCTTACTGTTACTGATGGCAGGAAAAGCAGACTGTTATACACATCCACATAATTCAGTTTTTAGTTTCACAACTACGGCTATTGATAGCCGCCACTACATAGCCTATGCAAAAGGAAAACCATATCAAAACCTAAGTATTTACTGTTTGTGGTGCTGAGAGATTGTTTGCGGACGGCGATAGTGATTTCCTGTAGGAGGGTCTCGTCGGCGGCCGAACGCCAGCCGAAAATGCCGGTCTCTGGTTGACTGCTGCGGGCCAAAACCGTGCAATTTTCCGCATGTCTGAAAACAACACAGAGTTGCATAAGTCTGGGGTTTTTTGAGCAAAAAAGTAACCTCCAGACGACGGCTGGAACACGATGTAGCGTTCGATAGCGTCCGGCAGCCTGGATTTCGGCATCGGACACATTCAGGGGGACGATCCAGTAGCGCGGAAACGTCGGACAGAAGCCGTAATCTCGATTGACGGCGGTAATACGCCATAACGACGAATCAAACTGGAGACGATGGAATTCAGCAGCGACGATCTTTTCACGATCAGCATCCAAATCTGTAAACAAAAAACATCACAAAACAACAAAATAAAAAGATATATTTAAATTTGTGCAAAATAAGTTGTCAAAAATCTACCGTCTGCTGCATCGTCGTTCGCGACATCAAACTGAACACTACACGAAGTGGAAGCCGCTTCGTCTTTACACCATGCGAAAAAGGCGAAAGCGAACACGTCTTCGAGATTGTATGGTGGGGAGGTGGCCGAAGTCAACAATTTAAACCATGCCAAACATGTTTCGTTGTTTTCGAAGCATACCCTGCAAACTATACGTGTATCAAACGACCAAAAATATGACTCAAAACAAAAAGCTATGTAGCAATATATGGTATATCGATATGAAAAATCAACCAAAAGTTTACTGCTAAAATTAGTAGGGACCATGTA